GGAAATCTTAAATAGAAGCATAGGTTGACATGCACATCAAATTAAAGACCTTTACTAGTAGATTACAATGCCGTAAATTCAAGCTCAAAAGAACGCCTGAGTAAAAAATGGCAGCCGTTCAAAGATTTCTTGAACCTGCCATTTTGAATCTTTGAACGACTGCCATTTTTTACTCAGGCGTTCTTTTGAGCTTGAATTTATGGCATTGTAATCTACTAGTGAAGACCTTTAATTTGATGTGCATATCGACATATGCTTACGTTAACAATTTTTTTCCGATTCCTAGGGCTGTGCCCCCAAATGCAAATTAAATAAATCTTTGAACCACTGTCATTCTTGACTTGGTTGTCCGTTTGAGTTCAAATTTGCGGCATTATATTCTGCTAGCAAAGACCTTTAATTTGATGTACATGTCAACCTATGCTTCTATTTAAGATTTCCTTCTGACTCCTTGCGGGACGTCCCCATGATGTGATGGAAAATTGACATTTCCTTAAAAAAGTAGATTTTTAAGTGTGGTGTTGATATACCAAATCTTATTGATTTATCTGTTGTCGTTTAGAAAATATTAAACCGGTCCGGGACTTTTGGGACAGTCTGTATATTTTAAAATTACTGCATTATTCTTTATTGCATATTTTGCATTTTCTATAATTATTTTTTGAGCAGTTCTATTGTAAACAATGTATAAATAATTAATTTGGAAATCTTATGATTAACATAGTTCATTATCATTATAAACTTCGACTATATACTTAGTCAGTCATTTATTCACACAGATACAGTTTTGAATATAAAGGTTACATATGGTAATTTGTTACATTGTAGTATCAATACACAGCATGGTAGGCTTTTAATTATTTCTTTATCGACCTAATGTAAGTATGCCTTTATACAAATTTAACATAGTAAATGGTCCTCTTTTAGAGTGAACTGCTACGGAAATGTTATTGTCTCCCATGGTTATTGTTTCACTTAAGATTGAATGTAGTTGTAATCAATACAATTGTGTCCACCATCAAGTTGATCAGAGAACAATCAATATCAAACAGCACATGTGGAGTGTCCAAGTAGGCGTCGTCGATGAGGCTGGACAGTTTAGTGTAAACTTTTGAGGCGGAGTTTGAGAGTGAGAGTGACCGTTGGACTTGCAGGATAGAGAGACGTTTCCTTTTGTACTTCACCAACCCACTGAGTGCAAAGTTCAGCACTAATACCATCACATTCACAATAAGTAACAAGTATTTAATGTTCTTCGTTTCTAACACATTTGCATCCTGGTTAGAGAGAATGCTGTAAGATTGCATTAGGAACGTAAGACAGAAAAAAATACTTCCGAACGTTTTAACAACGAGTAAGTAGTAAGACCAAGATTGATACCTGACTTGAAGATCGTTTAGCTGTAACACTATTTGGAGGATATTTGGCTTTGTTTCTTCTATGGTGATTATGTCAGCTGAGGCGTAATCTACATCGAAAGTATTTCTTACCTTAAAGTTCCTACTCCTGTCTGGGATGAGAGCTGCAGGTGAACCAACTTTTTTACTCTCGGTGTGTTTTGCATATAAATACTGACTGACGCATTCTAGCATTTCCAGTTCAGTAGTTCTAAACATCAAATAGAAAAAATTGAATGCCCATAATACAGACAGAAACAGAAATTGTTTGATAAATGATATTGTTATTGAAAATACTTTTGAATGCACACCAAACATTAAGTCTTCTTCGTCCTGCATAACATAGTACGCATCTGATAAAATCGTTAAGAATATCCAAACGGTTTCGAGGAGTTTGAAGAGAGTAAACATATTCTTAGTTTTTTGTTGCCTTAGGATTTTTCTTACAAACTTGAGATGTTTCTTTAACGAGTCCATCACAGCATTTAATAAGTGATGGCATTTTAAGTTGTAGATTGCGTAAGTGAACGTCTCGAAGCCAAAATAAGCATAAACAATTCTGATGTATGTGAAGTTGTCTGATGATGGATCGTCAGCTATTTTGGTATTTGCATTCCAAATATACTCAAACGAGAAATACAAGTAGCATAAAATGCTGAACACCTGAAATATTCGTGAGCCACGTTTACTTATTGTAGAAGCTCCAGAGAGACAATTAAGTACAGTTGCTATTTTTAAGAAGAACATAATTCCTGATTTAAATACCCAATTTTTTTACTGAAAGTTTAAGGAATTACTTGTGTATACGTACCACATCCTGTTTGTAATGGCCAGTTGCTATGGAGATTTCCAATAGCATTAAGATTGAGTTAATAGATCGGAACTGAAGGAGGATAATATCATTAAAGCTTGTGAGCTTTTAGTAATATTGTAAAACTATCAATACAAAATACTCAGCGTGGTGACTTACTGTTTGTATTTGGCAACATTAAATATTTTTCAGATCTTAACATTTTACTTAGTACTTTGTTTAAAACATTAACGTCAAAGGATTTAATTTATATTCACACCAATGTGGCTATGATCTTTGCCACCATATTTATCCCTTTTCTTTTTTTAAGAGGTTAGCGGCCTCTTTGATCCTTGCATTTGCCTTACTGGGATAAGGTTTGGCTGTTAACACGATTTCTACATTAACAAAAAAACGACAATTAGGGAAAGCAGGGAAACGTTTAATTTTAAATCTGTAACCGACACAACGTAAACAATGACAACAAGCCTTAATAAATTTGGAAAAAAACATTATTAAATTAAATATAAACACTTGTGGTTTTTTTCTTCTGATAAATTTATGTAAATGTTCATTTTCTACTTCCCCAACTGGAAGCTGTATAAGTTGTTAATACAACTATTTTGAGTGAACGTAATAGTGAACTCAGGAGTAAAGAAAATAGAAGTGCTTACTTCCCTTTAAGACTCTTTTTATTGTGGGCTGAAATAAAAGTATTTCAATCCAATGATAGTCAAAAGTTATTTACGCTAAAAAAAAAGAATTGTTTCAAATTTCAAATAATAATTTTAAAAACTACTAGTTACCACTTAAAGGTTTATGGAATTGAATTTAAATTTAATAGAATTGTTGCACTTTTAATATGTAAAAAAAAAATAAAAATAAAACAAACTATTTTGTACCATATACAAATAATAATACTACTACAAAAAATATTAACATCGATTTTAATACCCATATGAGCCTGTGAACAAATATTATCTACATTAAAATAAAATATCACGTATTTCCATGAAATATTCTCGATTTGAGAGTAGATGACATCGGTTCTGTCACTGTCTGACATCCTCAATACGATGCGAATGATATGCAATGAATTTCTTTAAGTGAACGCATCAATGTACATTACATGTTGTACATCATGTAACATTTTTCGGAAAAATAATATAATTAGATGAAATTATGGATGTTTCGTTTTAATAACATAAGACACAGAAATAAGTAAGCTAACTTCAATTTGGTAAACTATATGATGTGACAAAACATAAGATATTGACACGTTGTTGTATTTAAGTGTGACAAAATTATGATTTTTAAAATAGATAAAAACTGTGTGACGTGCTGTTTTGTATTGTTAGACACATTGAATTTGTAATTAACTGCCGTTTTAGAAAAGTCTTAATAAATTACCATCTGTTACTATTCTAAGCGTAATTATTTACTACGTGTTAGTAATTGACCTGTGTCAAATGCCTTTGGTTTGCGTACCAGTGCACAAGGTTAAAAAAGGCGCTAACCTCATAAAAACAATAAAAGAAAAGAATTTGGTGGCCAAGATCATAGCCACATTCGTGTGAATGTTAATTAAATCATATGACGTTCCTGTTATTCAAACAAAAGGACAAAGTAAATACAAACAATACAAATGGTATAAACATAGTCAGTCACTGCACTGAGTGTTTTGTATGGATCGATTTACAATATTACTAAAAGCTTACAAGCTTTAATGATATTATCCTCCATCAGATCCGATCTATTAACTCAATGTAAACGCTATTGGAAAACTCCATAGTAACTGGCCATTACAAACAGGATGTAGTAGGCCTACGTATACACAAAGTAGCCCCATAAACTTTTAGTAAAAACTTTGGGTATTTAAATCAGGAATTATGTTCTTCTTGAAAATGGGGACAGTCCTTAATTGTCTCTCTGGAGCTTCTACAATACGTAAACGTGGCTCACGAATATTTCAGGTGTTCTGCACTTTATGCTATTTGTATGTCTCGTTTGATTATATTTGGAATGCAAGTACCAAAATATCTGACGATCCATCATCAGACAACTTCACATACATCAGAATTGTTTATGCTTATTTTGGCTTCGAGACGTTCACTTGCGCAATCTACAACTTGAAATACCATCACATATGCAATGCCGTGATGGACTCGTTAAAGAAACATCTCAAGTTTGTGATGATAAACCTAAGACAACAAAAAAGTAAGAATATGTTTACTCTCTTCAAACTCCTCGAAACCGTTTGGATCTTCTTAGTGATTTTATTAGATGCCTGCTATGGTATGCAGGACGAAGAAGACGTAATCTTTGGTGTGCAGTCAAAAGTATTTTCAATCACAATAGCATTTGTCAAAGAATTTGGGTTTCTGTCTGTATCATGGGCATTCTATTTTTTCTATTTGATGTTTAGAACTACTGAACTGGAAATGCTTGAATGCGTCAGTCAGTATTTATATGCAAAACACACCGAGGGTAAAAAAATTAATTCACCTGTAGATCTCATCCCAGTCAGGAGTAGGAACTTTAAGGAAAGAAACACTTTCGATGTAGAATACGCCTCAGCTGACATAATCACCATAGAAGAAACAAAGCCAAATATCCTCCAAATAGTGTTACAGCTAAATGATCTCCAAGTCAGGTATCAATCTTGGTCTTACTACTTACTCGTTGTTAAAACGTTCGAAAGTTTTATGTATTGTCCTACGTTCCTAATGCAATCTTACAGCATCCTGTCTAACCAGGGTTCAAATGTGTTAGAAATGAAGAGCATTAAATACTTGTCACTGTTAGTGTATGCGATGGTATTAGTGCTGAACTTTGCACTCAGTGGATTGGTCAAGTACAAAAGGAGACGTCTCTCTATCCTGCAAGTCCAACGGTCACTCACACTCTCAAACTCCGCCTCAAAAGTGTACACCAAACTGTCTAGTTTCATCGACGACGCCTACTTGGACACTCCACATGTGTTGTTCGAAATTGACTGTTCTCTGGTTAACTTGATGGTGGACACAATTGTATTGATTACAACTACATTCAATCTTAAATGAATCAATAACCATGGGAGACAATAACATTTCCGTAGCAGTTCACTCTAAAATAGGACCATTTTTCTATGTTCAATTTGTATAAAGACATACTTACATTAGGTCGACAAAGAAATAATGAAAAGCTTCGATGCTATGTATTGATACTACAATGTAACAAATTACCGTGCTACTTTTATATTAAAAACTTGATCTTTGTGAGTAAAATTACTGACTTAAGTATGTAGTTGATACTTATAAAAAACCTAAAGCTTTGTGACTAGCTTGGACAGGTTTAGACTAAGACATCGGGGTTTAAACTCTCACCACCAATCTCAGTGCCAAACAAATAGCGTAATAAGTTTTCCAAACCATCTATGATCTATCTATAATACATATATGATCCATCTATGATCTATCTACGATACATCTATGATACATCTATGATCTATCTATGATCCATCTATGATCCATCTATGATACATCTATGATACATCTATGATACATCATATGTACCTATATGTATCATATGTACCTCCATCTATGATCATGATGTATCATAGATGTATCATAGATGGATATTAGATGTATCATAGATGGATCATAGATGGATCAGGACGGATCATGATGGATCATAGATGTATCATAAATGTTTTGATGGATCATAATGGATCATAAGGGATCATTGATGTATCATAGATGTATCGTAGATAGATCATAGATGTATCATAGATAGATCATAGATGGATCATAGATGGATCATAGATAGATCATAGATTTATCATAGATGGATCATAATGGATCATAAAGGATCATTGATGTATCATGATGGATCATAGATGGATCATGATGGATCATAGATGGATCATGATGGATCGGATCATAGATGGATCATTGATGTATCATAGATGTATCATAGATGTATCGTAGATAGATCATAGATGGATCATAGATGTATTATAGATGGATCATAGATATAATGGATCATTGATCCATTGATCATCAGCTTGGTTTTGGTCAAAATAGAAACCAGTTTTTTTTTTCACAAAGCGATGGTAAATGTAGTTTTTGCATGCCAAAAATAAACAAAAGCTTTCTTTCCTTGCATCAGTCTGCAGAGATGAGATGTGATGTATAGAACAAGAGGAGGAAACATTTGAATGAAAGTAAACGAAGCTGAGATGGTTACAGGATATGTTCGGCTGTATGTGAAAGTGTTCTTTTTTTATCTCAACACAATCAGTTTATATCAGCTGTATCTTGATATCTTGATACTATAAACTTATTGATGAAATTACATAGATCCTAACCAATAAAATGAATTTGTATAAGAATGAGAGTGACTTCTAAATAGCATTAGACTTTAATGTGTGTCAGGAACAAGTTAATCAACCTACAAGAATCATAGAGGAGCTAGTAGTATTGCTAATAAGTGTTCCACAAGGAAAATTAGTCTATCATTGTTTTCTTGTGAACATTATTTTTGCCATTAATTTGCACATTAATTTGCAAAAAATGGCCACTTTTTAAATACAAATCTATCATCCTAAGATTATTGTTAAGTACGGTATGAAATAAACATTTAAAAACAGTATGTTTAGGAAACATCAAAATAAACTACATTCATTCTTAGAACTATTAATATCCATCTAAGGTTATAAACAAAGGAGGACCAGCCAGGTATGAAATTAATCACGTCTGGCAGGATTCCAAATGAAATATTGATGGGTCGTTGCGGTTCTTTTATCTCCTTGACATGTTTTAGCGGCATGTACCTTAATCTAGTATGTAAGGCATTAGAGAAAATATAATATTTCAATATATGATATATGTTTCTTGTAAATCCATCTAAGGATTTGATATGACCTAAAGTACATATGATTTTTTTACCATCGAATTTAAACAAAAATCTTGTATTCCTTAGAAAATCTAGGATTAGGAAATGTTTCTTCAACATAATATTTAGTTAAAAATATCTCAGTATTCATTAAAATATCTGATACCGATTACAATATTGTCAAGCTTGTAGGTTCTATTTTAATAGCAAAGAAATTTAAAAAATCTTATTCTTCTATTTAGTTTGTAAAGTTAATAAATAGGGATCTTGGTTTATATTTTTGGATAAATATTTATAGTACTAAGACATCTTATTTTATACTTAAAATAAATTAACCTTAAAAAACCACGAAAAAATGGAATATATTTTAAGAATACTTTCAAACAAAAGTGATTTTACCATAGAGTTTCACAGGTATTGACGTTTTTACAGAGAGTAAGGTGTTCAGTAAACTTTAACCATTCATATTATTTAACACTCTATGTTTTATTTAATGTACATCTCTTTTCCTTGCAACTAACATGTGTTCTTAATCAAATTAAATTATTCTCTATTGGTAACACATGTTGTGTATAAAAAAGTAAATAAAAACAGTGCTTGTTCTCCTATCCCAAAAGTGTGTTCATTTTTTTTTTCTCCTCTTATAATCTCCATTTAATTTCATTCTCTACAAAACATTCATTGGTCCTTCGAGCCGGATTTTGAATTTCAGTCTTTGGATTCAATTTTCAGAACACTTTCAAGCTATCGAAATATCTTTATTTTATCATTCAATCTCTTTATGTTTCTCCCCACTCTCATAGTGTCACAAACTCTATCTAATTCTTAGTAAAGTTTCACTCCATCTGTTTTGTCCAATATGGCTACCAGATCAATTTCACTCTCAAACTTCAACAAATCAACCCTTCTCATACAAAATTCTTTTGAAAAGATTCTCAAATCTGTACAAGAGCTTGAAACACTTTCCCCCTCAATCTTGTCAGTGATACAAATCAGAACTTTAAACAACTTCTCGAACCAGTTAGAAAAGAAACATGAAGCCTATGAAAATTACCTGGAAAGAGCCTTGGAACATATATCAGAAGAATTAGATTTGGATGCAGTAAGTGACACTGAAGACAAACTGCGACTGCTATTCGTCGAAGCCAAGTCTCGAATTGAAGCCCTTCTCCAACAGCAGCCGCAAGATGTTCCAGAAGAAAGTAAAGATTCAACAAGAATTAGTGACATCTCAGCTTCATCATCTGCTCACGTAAGACTCCCAAAACTAGACCTCATCACGTTTGATGGTTCTCCTCTACAGTGGGTAAGTTTCATCAACTTATTTGACACTAGCATCCATCTGAATGAAAGCATTTCAAACGTCACTAAATTTCAATATCTTCTCAGCGTGCTCAAAAATGAACCACTAAATCTCGTAAAAGCTTTCAGTATCACTTCAGCCAATTACTCAATTGCCTATCAGCTCCTCAGAGACAGATACCACAACACCCGAAGGTTAACTACACTTCACCTAAACAAACTGATCGACCTACCGGACATTTCCTCTACCTCAAACAAATGTCTCAGAACGTTCCTCAACTTGTTTTATGAACACACAGAAGCACTTAAAGCTCTTGACTGTGACATTACTTCTAACTCTAACCCTCTGTTGTCCACCATACTCTTACGAAAACTAGACAATGACCTTCTAAAACAACTAGAGGCTTTTAGAATTAATATAAAATGCGAAACACATTCTCTACCAGAAGTAGTCGAAATAGTCAAGTTTCTTAATCAAGAGTGTAACCAAATGGAAGACGCTGTGTTACATACCAAGTTTGCTCAAAGTACGAACAACCACAATTCAAATTTTAAACCCAAATCTTTCACATCCAAGCCCTCTTTCATTCAAGCTCAGAAAGTTACAATGGTCTCTACTCCAACTCCATCAAATCAAGACAACTCAAAAAATCCTTTCTCATTTCCCTGCTTTGTCTGCTCATCAACTGGCCACAAGGTTTATGCTTGTCCTAGCTTTCTCTCTCTTTCTTCAAATGAACGTTTTAAAACCGTAAAGGACAACAACAGATGTGTCTCTTGCCTCGGAAAACATGATGTTAAAACATGTAAGTCTAAAGCATCTTGCTTCAAATGCCACAAACGTCATCACACCTTACTTCATTTTGAACATGACAAGACATCTCAAGGTTCTACATCATCACAACCATCAACCACTCATGTTTCGAATGAAAAACCTACCGTATCTCTTTGCTCACAGGAAGCCAGTCCTGCTAATCAAATCCCTAAAACTGTAATTTTAGGCACAACACTGGTTAAAGTTACTGCTCAAAATAACGTTTCTCATGTGTTCAGAGCATTGATTGATAGTGGCAGCATGTGTGATTTTATTAGTGAAAAAGCTACTCAACTACTGAATGCACCTCGTTTCAAATCCAACTTACAAGTAGTTGGTCTTTCTCAATCTCCAACTCTCACAAAGGGTATTGTGAACCTCACTGTTAACACACTGGCAGGAAAATTAGTTGCATCCAACCATGAAGTGCACATACTTGATAAAATATCTGTCAATCTCCCTAGATCTCAAATATCACAAAGAGTTCTATTGAAAGTAAAACCAAAACCTTACCCCCTTGCTGATCCCAGCTTCCACTTATCAGGGCCCATTGACATGCTGATCGGAGCTTCTCTCTTCCCTCTTCTTTTAACGAATGAAAACTATTCTCTCGGCCCTAACATGCCTAACATGATGGGAACTCACTTTGGCTTTGTTGTTATGGGGAATGCACCTTGTTCAACCGATTCCCAGCCTGCCAACACTCCATCCATCTCTCTGCTCTCAACGGTTGACAACGAATTGCATAACTCTCTACAGAAATTTTGGAAATTAGAGGAATTATCTGTACCCTCAAAGATATCGGTTGAAGAGCAACAGTGTGAAGATCTGTTTAAAGCTACCCACTCTAGGGACGAAAATGGCCGTTACTTAGTTCAGCTACCATTTAAAGAAAATCATCCACCTTTAGGATCTTCCAAACTCATCGCAGAACGACGTTTTCACTCACTTGAACGACGTTTTACACTCTCTCCTGATTTGTATAAAGCTTACTCTGACAATATAAATGAACACATCTCTCAAGGTCATATGGTAAAACTACCTCATCTAGATATCAACTCTCCTCACTATTTCTTGCCACACCATGCAGTTGTGAAACCATCCAGTACCTCAACTAAACTCAGAATCGTTTATGATGCAAGCTGCAAAACCAGCTCTGGAATTTCCCTCAATGATTCTCTCATGACCGGCCCTAAATTACAGACCAACATTTGTGATATATTGCTACATTTCAGAATACACAATATCGTTTTCACTTGCGATATTCGCCAAATGTATCTTCAAATCTTAATCAAACCTTCCGATCAACTGTTCCAACTCGTCTTGTGGCGTGACAATCCCTCTGAAGATATATCCACATACAAACTCACTCGAGTGACTTTTGGAGTAAATAGCTCACCCTACTTAGCGATTCGTACCCTCCACCAGTTAGCTGAAGACGAAGGTAAAGACTTCCCTGAAGCAGCAAATGTCTTGCGCACTCAGACTTACGTAGACGACATTGTAACTGGAGCAGACACGGTAGATGAAGCAAAGAACCTTCAAAATCAACTCATTCAACTACTCAACCGTGGACACTTTGAACTTCGAAAATGGACTTCAAATTCTCCCGAGCTTCTTCAGTCTCTTCCAGACACTCATAAAGACTCTCCAGTCTTTCTTGAAAATACACCTGATCCCCATTTCTCAATTCTTGGCCTACAATGGTCTCCAGACTCGGACAATTTTTCATTTCATCTCAACCTACCGCCAAAAACACTAACTAAACGTCACGTTCTCAGTCTAGTCGCTAAAATATACGATCCTTGTGGATTTCTTAGCCCATGTACTATGACAGCGAAATGTTTTATTCAACTTCTCTGGACGACCGGTCTACAATGGGATGAACCTCTCACTCCAGAACTTAGTGCAATTTGGAGTAACTTTATCTCAGCGATACCAGCACTTGCAGACATTCAGATCCCTAGAGCATTGAAAATCTCTCAAAATTCTAGTGTTGAACTTCACGGCTTCTCAGACGCCTCTGAACGTGGGTTTTCAGCTGTTGTCTATGTACGATGTTCCCAACCCAACGGAGAAGTGACTACACGTATGGTTTTATCTAAAACTAGAGTCACCCCTCTCAAGAAGGTGACTCTTCCACGATTAGAACTCTGCGCTGCCCACTTATTAGCTCAACTCGTAAACTTCTGTTGTTCTTCATTCAAACCCTTAATTTCACTCAACCAATGTTATTTGTGGTGTGATTCTTCAGTAACCTTGACATGGCTTCAAACTCCATCTTACAGGCTGAAAACATTCGTGGCTAACAGAGTCGCCCAAACACAAGAACTTGTCCCCTATCACTGTTGGCGTTACATCCCTAGCAAGGAAAACCCTGCTGATTGTGCTTCAAGAGGTATTCTAGCCACTGAGCTTGTGTCTCACCCCCTTTGGTGGTCAGGGCCTTCTTGGCTTTCTCTTCCCCCTTCAAACTGGCCTGATGTAACTTTTTCACCTACAGATATCTCAACATTAGATGAAGTAAAACACACTCCTCTAACTGTACTTGTGTCAACTACCACTGAATCTACGCTGACCAATCTTCTCATTAAATATTCTTCATGGGAACGACTTCTTAGGATTTTTGCTTACGTCCTTCGTTTCATGCACAACTGTAAAGGTTTTGAAAAACGCCAAGGTTTCATCTCAACACAGGAACTGAAAGACACAAAATATCACATTTTTAAACTTGTACAAAAAGAAGTATTCACAGAAGAAATCAACTGCCTCAAACGGAAATCATTTTGCTCCACTCGTTTACAACGTCTTTCACCTTTCATTGACTCATTTGGATTATTGCGTGTTGGAGGACGTCTTTCTCAGACATCACTTCCTGAAGATGCTCGACATCCCATTATTCTGCCAAAAAAGCATCATGTGGTAAATCTCCTCATTGACCACTACCATATCTACAATCTTCATTCAGGCCCTCAGCTTACTCAAGCATTACTTTACAAACATGTTTGGATACTGTCTGCCCGTTGTGCCATACGCTCTCGTATCCATAAATGTGTCAGATGTTTCAAAGTCAAACCTAGAAATGTGTGTCCTCTCATGGCTGATCTCCCTCAGTCTCGTGTAACTCCTGCTCGACCTTTCCTCCACACCGGCATAGATTATGCAGGGCCTTTTACTGTTAAAATCTTCAACCTCAAGGCAGTGAGACACATAAAGTCATACTTTTGTACTTTCATCTGCCTCGTCACGAAAGCTGTACATTTGGAAGTAGTAACAGACCTAACGACTGAATCTTTCATTGCTGCAATGACTCGATTTGTATCTCGCAGAGGACATTCTTCCGACATTTACTCGGATTGTGGGTCCAACTTCATTGGTGCTGACTCTACCCTACGCAAGATTGTTGAAAAATCTCTTTATTGTCAAGACTCCAAACGGAAGATTCAACGATTCTCTTCACTTAAAGGCATCAATTTTCATTTTAATCCACCAGCCGCTCCGCATCAAGGAGGATTGTGGGAATCGTCTGTAAAGAATGTGAAACATCATCTCCGTCGAGTAATGGGAAACTCAGTCTTAACACTCATTGAATTCATCACATTGTTGACCCAAATCGAAGCAATGCTCAATTCCCGACCACTGACACCTCTTTCAAATGATCCTTCGGATCTCGCAGCACTGACTCCCGGACACTTCCTGATTGGTGCAACCCTCACAGCAGTACCTGAACCTAATCTCCTGACAGTTCCTGAAAACCGTCTCAAGCAATGGCAGCTAGTTCAAGCATTTCATCAACGCATATGGCATAGATGGCACCTAGAATACTTAAACAACTTGCAACAACGTACCAAGTGGACTCGGAAATCAAAAAATCTTGAAGTGGGTGACCTTGTTCTGGTACATATGGACTCACCACCTCTCTCGTGGCCTCTCGCTCGAATTACAGCAGTTCATCCAGGGGCTGATGGGGTTGTGCGAGTGATAGACTTAAAAACATCAAGTGGCAACCTCAGAAGATCTGCCCACAAAGTGTTTCCCCTGCCAACTGTGGATTCGTGAACTGTTTTTGTTGAATCCACTGGGGATTCAAGGCCCCCGGTATGTTCAGTAAACTTTAACCATTCATATTATTTAACACTCTATGTTTTATTTAATGTACATCTCTTTTCCTTGCAACTAACATGTGTTCTTAATCAAATTAAATTATTCTCTATTGCTAACACATGTTGTGTATAAAAAAGTAAATAAAAACAGTGCTTGTTCTCCTATCCCAAAAGTGTGTTCATTTTTTTTCTCCTCTTATAATCTCCATTTAATTTCATTCTCTACAAAACATTCATAAGGAAGTTTGCCCTCCAGTTCTGTTGGAATGAAAACATTTTCACGTCACGTAAAACAACACTTGTTTTGCATGAATTTGTTTGTAAAGTTCAAACTTAATTCACATGAAAATCGTTAGGCCTTCCTTACTCATATTTAACAGAACTAAATCTATTTTTGCAAACATTTCCTGGTTTTGTAAAACCTTTGACTGTTAATACAAAACTATGATAATAGTAAAACTATGATGGTTTTGTAAAACATTTTAAAGTTATTGTACAAACACAATGTGCTTGAATACAGTATAAAAACACACTTCAGCATGACTTCAAAGAATAAAAAGCCCTTTATTTTTTTTCATAAAACCCTTATGGTAAGAAATAGTTCAAAAGTAAATAATGGGGAAATGGTGTACTATTAATCTGTTATACATTTTAATTTAAGTGTTCACGTAATAGGGCTGCTGATATGTTAAATTATAGTAGTAAATAAAGTACAACTGAGCACCCTGAATATTATATCTTTTTAGTAGAAGTCACATGTTTTGGACATAAGTCCATTTTCAAACTTCAAATAACATTAAATACTTAACTTTTTTTCACTATTTGTTGGTATCTATATATATGAAAGGCAAAGCCCTCACTGACTGACTGACTCACTCACTCACTCACTCACTCATCACTAATTCTCTCACTTACCATTTACCTAGGAGGCTGAAATTTGGTACACTGATTCTTTAGGCATTAAATAGGAAAACTAAGTTGTTTTTATTCTGATCGGACTCTCGGGCTCCGCCCCAGTGGCTCTGGAGTTTCCCATGTTAACCTTATGAGTACTTATATTTAAATGGAATTAATAAACCTTAACAGCTATTTCAATTAAACAAGTTGGCTATGTTCTATGATGTTCAATAGCATTAAAGTTACCAACAGGGTGCAGCACTATTATTTTTTTTTTATTTATGACAACAGCTAATTTGCAACCAAAAGGTGAGTGAGCGTAGCGAACGAACTTCAACCTGGAGGCGAGTTAGCGTAGCGAACGAGCTAACCTGAAGGCAAGTGAGCGCTTCGAACGAGCTCCAAACTAAAGGTGAGTGAGCGTAGCGAACGATCTTCAACCAGGATGTGATTGAGCCATGCGAACGAGCTCACTTATGAAGTAAAACGGGGCAAAGCTCTCGGGTACAGCTAGAATATAAATAAATATAATTTAGCTTATACAGATGTTTTATAGAATTGGACAGGATTTTGAAACTTTTTTGTTACTGATTATTTAATTGTTAAATTTTGTCAAAGATTAGGTTTCTTGAAGGAATTTGTTATACATTATATCCAATCACAGGATAACAAAATAATATAAAAATGTTCTTACTCCTATTGATAGCAAAGTCACGCTTCCCAGCCATAAAACCTCACAGCAGAGACAATGCAATTCTCTCTATAATGTTTGGTTTTATTGAAGCTATAAACCTGGTTTGGCTTAGAGAATCAATCAGTCTAAACCGATATCTATCTTTACATATATATTATATTTTAACATTGTGTTGAGAGCTCAATATTTCTATGAGAACCTTTACAAAACCAGTTATGTGATTTTTTGTACAAATTAATTTTAAGCGTTTCTTTTGACTATAAAACTTTCTGTGTCCAAAGTTAAGTAAGTATTAATGATATCAATAAATCCGTAATAAAAATGCTGGGATTGTCAAGTTAAAGCTCTGCCAGTTAACATTGAGGTTTTACCACTGACTGCTGTATTTAATTAACGATCAAAACAAGTACGGGTATTTATTTAATCCCGTCATGTGAAACCAACTAAACACACCGTATTTTTATTATCAACCCTTGTAATGCTTGTCGGCAATCATTTATGAGTAATAATCAAAACAATCATTAAACCTTTTATGATTTGTGATTCGTGATATAGTATTTACTTATAAAACATTCTCATAATCACCAATTTGTGAATTCATTTTATTTAGTGTGTTTTTGATAGTTAAGCCTATTCAATTTTTTACAATTTAACTGTTCACTACCTTTATCAATTTGTAAATATAAATAGCATGTATAGCACAAAACATTTTATTTGTACGTCAGTCTTGAAAACCATTTCATTTTCCATAGCTTCAAGGCCAAAAAAGGCAAATACTAGATTATTAATTATCTAGTTATCTAGGCAGTAATGTGTTGAACTACTTTGCATGTTATTTCCAGTTATGGCAAGTAGTAATACAGCTTCATTACAACTAAATATTCAATATAATAAATAACTTAGATAATATACGCCATTTCGCCACGAGAATCTACACGTTATACTATGTTAGTTTTAATTATTTTATGTTTGCATAGCTTTAGTACAGGGTGAGGCAGTGAGAACACCATAATTTTCTTTCGTTGTCACTTTATAAGTAAAGCAACAATGAATGAACATTTGTGCTTATAACATTAATCAAACTATTCCAAGTTAGTAAACATTATTCCTGAGTCTTGTAACACTGAGATTTAGATATATGGACCTATTTTTAAAATAGTGATTCTTGTGCAAACGCCCAGAGATTGTTTGGACCACATTTCATACTTGGTCAATATAGCGCCGTTCCAAATTGGAAAACGATAGGGAACTGGGTAAAATTATTTAAAATAACAGCTTAGACCATTAAAATAATCGGTGGGTGCCGCAAAATTCTTTGTACACCGGCAAATGTTGAAAGAGTGTGAGTCGCAGTAACTCAAAGTCCAAAGGGGTTTGCCAGAATGCTTTTGTTGTTGGAAGCTTTACGCTGGGTTTTTGCTTTCTTTTGGGTTTCTCCTTATACGCTACTTAATAGTTAAGGTTTTCCAAGTTGCACTAGATATTTTCTTAAATTTCCAAGAAACTAAAGTGATTCCTAAAGAAATGTTGGAAGCAGTATTCAATGACATTTTCAAGTGACTGAAAAGGAATGTCAAGTAGGACAAGGACGTCAATAAGGGATTTTGTTTTCAAGAAATGGAGAAATGACTTTGTTAAGTTAAAATGGCAAAAGATAAGATGTAATTTGATGTACTATTTATATTTATAGGGTAAATAGTATTGAATTTGTACTATTTATAAATTGAGGCGCTTTCATTGCCTCACTCTGTACATAATAATTAGCTAGTTTCTTACTTAAGGGATTACATCAACCTTATTCAAACAAATGAACTTACACTAATTTCATTTCGGATGCATTTAGTTAGTAATAATTTAATTTTGAAAGTTATTGACAAGATAATTTGTACTGTCTATAAATTGGGGCGCTTTCTTTGCCTCACTCTGTACATAATAAGATTAGCTAGTTTTTTACTTAAGGGATTACATCAACTTTATTCAAGCAGAAAAATTCAACTAATTTCATTTCGGATTAATTTGGTTAGTAATAATTGAATATTTAAAGTTATTGAAGGTGAAATATACTCACAAACAAAATGAAAATACAAATCATGTCATTTACACACGATAAGTTTGATTTACAATTGTTAATTAAACTAATATTATTTGACACATGTCATAATTTGATAAGTGTGGCAATTGACACGTGTGCAGTTGATTGGTAAATAAGAGTTGTTGATTTGACTCATTTTTTTATGTGTAGGCCATTTTAATGTGTTAATTAACTCATATGACAAATTTACTCATTAGCTTTTGTATCCTGACTAACACGAAGTTATAAATAATCATCAAAGTATATAGCAAATTATCTACGATTTTACTTGTCGAAGATGTTTTTGTGATGTATGCTTCAGCGATTGAGCAATTCAAGGCAATCATAGGACTTCATATATAAACTGTTATGCTTTTTTAATACTTTCTTATTAAATGGCAACCATTCAAAGTAGGTATTTTAAGCCAAGTATGAATGGAGATAGGTGTAGGAAGAGTGATGCGATCTTGTAGTCTTGTTAGTTACTAAGGCCGACATTACTCAAACACAGCAGTTAATTAATAGCCCATACAGCTAATGGCAACTAAAGGACCTACAGTTGATAGTGATCCGAACCACATTTTTGCCTTGGTATATACGAATTTGTCTAATTATGAGGATAGTACTGCAGATAGTCGTAGTACTCAATCGTGCGAACGTTAATCCACACCAGGGAGTATCGAATCCACAGTGCATGCCTATAAATATCCACAATTTGTAACCTCCAAGTAGCTGGATTACAGGACGACGCCACCCGTCCCAGTCTTTAATGGCTAGTAGAAAATACCATGAAGTTTTTATAAAAATAATTACCATATGTTACCTAAGCAGCTTTCGTAGAAAGTAGATAACCATTAAAACTGGTATAGAAGCTGCCCACCTGTTCAAGTTAGTTTTTAATCACATATCAGTGGTCGTACATCGGTAAGAGAAAATTACACGACATGTAAAACGAAGTTTATTTTATGATTTTTAAATCTTTAAATGAAACATATACAAGTTTTGGAAGCAAGAGTTAACAGATAATAAGTCACAACTATTTTATATTCCTAAAGAATCCTTTAGTTTATCCCTACCTAAATGAAACTAATCTTAGATCAAGGCTGAACATCCGAAGTTCTCGGACTGATTGTCCTTGATGAACTTAGGCCATTAAGTGCTAAACATCTTAACTTGTAGGTCTAATGAACCACTGTGACTTAAGTATCACCAAGTATCTGAACAATTTCTGTCGAATTACCAACCTTTGTGTTGACAGCCTCTTCATTAATATTTTGATAAATTTATATATATA